CCCCAAAACCCCAAAACCCCAAGTTTTCGATTTATGCCTATAATAAGAGAATCTAGAAAATATAAACTGTTAAATTTAAGATATTTTATTATATGAATATTTATAATAACTTTTCTCATTGATTATTTCCATTAACAATGAAGAAAGTATTTAGAATGATTCTATCACTTCTGATGGAAACTGTCTTTAGTAGAAAGCAAGCAGTTATAATTTAAAAATTATTAATGACTCTCATAATGAGCTAGTATTTTACCCTTTGTATATATTTGTTGACACTCGCGACATTTCAGATATGGTTTACCCCTGTGAATGTCTAAATGTTTTTTTTAGTTCGATACCTAATTAAATTCCATATTGCACCCCTCAACTGGGCAGAGAAAAGGTTTTTCCCCTGTATGGATCCGTAGATGGTCAAATAGATTGTGCCACTTACGAAAAAGCTTACCACAACCTTCAAAGTCACACGAAAATATTTTTGACTATCTCCCAGTAGTTGTGCTGGTGTATTTTACCATTGTAAATAGTTTGGTATTTGGTATATGGACCTTGTTGGTAAATGATTATAGATCAATATCCTCCCCATATAAAAATTCCACAGGAGTCTATTCCGATAGCTGAAACTTCCTCAAAATTCTTTCTCCTAAAGTTTGTCTCATATTACGATTATCTTTAGCCTCTTCTTTGGCTCCCTACATTTAAAGAGCATGTTGAGGAGTTAAGACTAATTAGTCTGTTTATATATTTACTTATTTTAAATCAGCTCTTAAAGGTGGTTAATCTTGGAAATTCTAGTCTAAACTTGAAGGGAAGGGGTTTATAGTTGAAGGATGTTATTGGAGTACTTAAGGAGAAAATCATATTTGAGGTTGCTGAACATTACTAGGAATCAATCCTAACAGTTGGTTATTGAGATGAGCTGACTGAAAAACTTATTAGGGAAATATTTGCAAATATTAATTTTAAGGATTCACTGTAGGAAGTACTTAATGTGTGTTGGATTAGATCTGATTATGCTGAGGTTGCATGTTATAATAGCTTTAGGAATTTACAATGTTTTAGTATTATGGAAATTGTTATCCTTAGATAAAGTAAACAGGGTAGTTAGTCCCAAGGTTGCTGCAATTAGGGTATTAATACATAATTTTGTTTTGTTTTACGCTGAGAACTCTCCTCCCAAATATATTATCAAATAATATTTTTTTTCTATTTCAAACTATGAAATCACTTCTAAATATCTTTTGCAACTTAAGGGGTTTTGGGGTTTTGGGGTTTTGGGG